TCGATTTTTAAAGTCACCTGAACCGTTTTCAGTGTCCTCGTCGTCAGGCCCGAAGCCGGACGCCCGGTCATCTATGTCCGGCGCGTTGCCACCACCACCGCCGGCACCACCACCGCTGCCGCGCGTGAGTTCGCGCCTCTGCAATTAATGAACAAGTTAGACGAAACAGATTGCAAAGATGCGAAAACAAACGAAAATGAAGCTGAAAACCACCGATCGATTATCAGCGAAAAGGCCACCGCCTTATTAACCGATCATCCAATAACATACCAAACCCTCACGCATTACATTACAATTCTTACACTGTAGTGGGAAAAAGCGTTATCAAAAAACCTGAGGACACCGTAATCATACCGCCGATCCGATGCCTGGGCTGCTTCCTCGCGGGACTACGTCGAGCACGAGATTTTGAATAGCACGTTTCAAGGAAACCGCCAGACTGAAGAGAAGATCTAGGACAAGAAAACTTTCCTTGCGCGGGAGTTTTCGTGGCGCCTGCTGCTGCTGCTGGAAGCTAATGATGCTTTGGCGAAGGCATGGCGAATAAGAACTCAAAAATCACCAAACACCACACTACGTCCATTCGACGGCTTTGGCACAAAGCGGCAGATCATTCGCGTGGTACGGTGTGGATTGGGTCCGGTGCCATTCCGGAGAAATTAATATGCACCAGCGGCAATAATGCCGTGCCGTCGCATCAGCGAAGCGATGCACTGGCATGCGCTTCTGCCGAACCTGAGGGCGATGGTCCTCGATGGCGCGCGTAACAACTTATTAACAACATTCGGTAACAGACAAGGACGTCGTGGCAAACAAGGTTCGCCGATCGGCTGGGTCAATGAGCAAAAACTTCGGGGACTTCAGAAATCTTCATTCGATACCAAACAATGCAAGATGCAGAGTACGTACGAAAACGCGAGGAAAAATTCAATCATTCATTCAACATACGGATGATGGGATCGCATCAAGAGTATCACACTCACATCGCTCTTGCCGTCGACGTACACATTCGCCGACTGCGGACTCCACTTGTCGTACCATTTGTCACCCGCCGGCTTGTGCTGCTGCGCTGCAAGAGACGACGAATTAGACGTCAGCACCTGCAAGTAGACACATGACCCTTTAGCGATGTACACCACAAATACAAGTATACGAATAAACACGTATGTACACACACATTAGTGCAAACATAAACTGTCGACTGCCGCCAGCGGCAAACAGCACACGCCAAAAGGCGCCGACAGGAAACAAAGGAAAGAATCGCGTTGCCTCGGCGCGACATCCCGGCCATCGTGCCAATCCCTCACGCCATTCACACTTCAAAGAAAATACCACATACCTCGGTCACGACGAGTAGGATAAAAATGGAAAACACATGACGACAGCCAACGAAGTTGAATGCCATAAAAGATTTCACCAAATTCGCATCCTGTTCATCTACATACTTCAGCGCGAATGGTACTCACAACACCGGCTGCCGCGAACCATTCAGCAGCGACTTCGCGCATTACGGTAGAGACCTTCATCTAGCAATGAAATAGACAGCCTGCAGCTAACGTGATGACCAACAGTCGTTGTTTTGGTAACTAAGGACTGCTTTTCCGTAACGTTTCATCAAAACTATGAAATATTGCTAGACCATTGCATAGAAAACAGTACCTTTTTATTATATACTATTAATAAAAATTTTAGACTGTAATAAAATGCTCGCTTAAGTATCAGAACAGGAAAATTTCCTACTACTACTTGTTGGCCAACATTGTTAGGTAGTCACTAACGTGACTTCATAAAGCGACGTTATCGGCCAAACAAACCGTTTTTTCCCATAAGATCGGCTACTGTTTCAAGAAATATACGAAATTCAGCATTTTAAGGATTTCATTTGCAGTTTTTTACAAACGTTTCTGATTTACATAAGTTTAAGCTTAATAAAATACCATGCATTTTGGTGTTTGGTTTATTTCTCATGAACTTTTTAAGCTCGTTGTTAGCTAAATATTCTTCAGCATATACAACAATTTCTAGGTCTTGTAATATCTGTAATTATGTTTTCCATTTTGGAGATTTACCAGTAAAGGATAAAATGAACTTTTCATAGAGTCTAATTTCTTCTTGAAGAAAAGACTCTTAAGGTTTTCAAAGGATTGAAATAGTCAAGCTTTCATCTAATTTGTGATTAACTATATTTAAAGCCATTTGACTTCATAAATTTTAAGTTACATTATCTACGGTTACGCAGTGAACTTACTCTCTCATGTCCACTACCAAGCATCAATAATGCCATATAGGAAACACACCGGTTTTGTTGCATGCATGAATCAATCAGCAAAACATTCTTAAGCAGTTTGTATGAAAAACATATCTCATTCTTTAAATGACAGCCTTCTAAAGTGCGTATTTCATCATTCATCGATGAGATCCCAGATTTCTAGTGACCCTCCCTCCAAAGCTGTCAATCAGCGCTATCCGATTAAACTGAATGGATCGTGGTTTTAATTCAATACTACTCGGCTTTTATAGGTCCGTTTTTTAATTACTATATGCCTCATCTTTCTACTTGTCATTTTCTGTTACTTCTTGTTTTACTCTTCTGTGCTGGTTGAACCGGAGGAAATATTTGCTCCTTTCATTATCTTGTGATATCGTGCAGGCAATGTGTTTTACGACCATTCCTTTCATACACGTTAAGAAACAGTGTCCATCGGCGGTACAATTCCCAGAGGAAATTTTATTCGCAATTTTTTTGGATGCTAAAACTCATTTAAACAGAAATCAACAATATTACAAAAATCAAATTGAAAGCAGTCTGTCCGTTTGAAGCACCAGATCAGCGTCGATTGGATTGCGCTCTTCAGTGTAGCAGTTTACTCGCTGAATACAACTATAAAAATACTGTTGATACAATCACACTTTATCTATGAAAAGAGTGGCTTTCTATAATAACTATTATACTTAGAGACAATTTACTTTGAATGGAGATACCTCCTTGTTTGCATTGCAATAATTACTGGCAAGTATTAAAGAGTTCAGCGATATAGAATAAAAAACAAACACAATCGTCATGGTATGTGAAACTCAGTTAAAATGAAACAATAACTGATAAATATTGTCACACACAGTACGCTTTTTTGCAACAACCGCCCGTTGGAGTAATAGTAAGAAAGCCAGGTGAGCGGAAATCAGACGAACAAAAGTGGATCAATTTGTCTTCGAGCTGCCGCGCAGTTAATAGGCCATTTATTCTTTCCCATACTGTCTAAACACGGCGGTGAGTGGTATTCTGTCTGACATCCAGTTTCCTTCGCGGACAGCTTCCATGTAGAGTCTGTTGAGGTCTAAACAATAACTATGCGTGAGATCGAACATCGGCAATATTGAATGTTCTTCATGTCGTGAACCCTTGTCAGATTTTATGGTGATGCGGTCTATTTGTTGATTTGATTCCTGAATAATGAGAAGAGTTTTACAATGTGCGTTGTAAATGAACAGTAAGTTTCTTAAACGCAAATATGTAGTCATTTATCTGCGGGTTTACCATTTCGTTTTTGGCTCGTAGGATATAGGACGACCAATGTGCTGAATCTCATACCATCATTAAGTATGAATGAATATATCCTACCTAGCCACTCTGGTGCCGAGAAAACTTGTCAGAAACATTAACATTATTGGCGAATAAACGAATGAAGCCAGAAGCTGAAACACCAACGTGATTTTCGTAGATTTGGTGAAGGGTATAACTTCCTGATTACAGCCTCAGATGGTACACTTTGGGCCTCTGTAATAATTTATTATCATTAACAGCCTGCTTTCCTCGTGCTATTTACCATCTAAATAGGCATTGGAGCTTATTAATGTCCTGTCACATTTGCATGGCAATTTACATAACGTTTTACTTTATATATACTGCTCAGTTTAAGTTTAATGCCACATTCGAAGTATGCTGTTGTTCCATGAAGAAACTAGTATTATAGTTAGTTGCAAGGTGTTAGGTAGTTCCTCAGAAGTCATTAATTCAATACTTTATAACCGGAACACAAGCAGACAATAGTATCGAAAAATGGAATAAACGTAAATCTGATGGTCAGTCCTGCTCTTGTTAAGAGTTTGTCATCACAGACTAAAAATATGCGACTGTATTTAAATCGTGGTTACTGTATGCTAACTCATAAACATCATGATAAGTCCGCACGCCCCAGTATATCAAACGATGCATTACTCTGACAGTACCAGATTTTACGGCGTATTATACCATCTCCTTGCTTCCGATTTCCTAGAGGGGGTATTTAATTAGGGCACGTCTCCATGGTATTTGAGCATGTGCAGTGCAGATGACGTAACATCATTTTGTTCGCTAGAGCCACCTCCCGCTCATTACAAATGTTGTGTAAGGAGATCGTACTTCCTATATGATGCTGCACAAATATCAAGATACAACGAACGTTGTTTAGTATTAATCTGCTACACCATTTTTAACAATCAGACATAAATCTGGGCTGTTCTGCAATTTACGTGTTGGTCACAAATGGATATATCAACAACTGCGAGTGGCAACCGCAACCGTTACATTGCCTATTTTTCACCAAAGATCGAGATCGTGCGCGACGTTTGCGGTGTTGACAGGGAACAAGAACACGTTTAGCAACGAGTTTCGAGGAAGCTTAAGTCCAGCTGGTCGGTTTCCGCTTGTCGAATAAGCTAGAAATCAGGTTGATAAATTGATACTTCCATGGTGACCCACGAAAGTTGAGAATGATCGTTTATCGCTTTATTGCCTGAAGCGTGGACCTGAGTTAAGGTTTGTCACTTAAGTCAAGACACTAGGTGTGCTGGTTTTCAATTTTGTGCTTAAGCCGTCAATAGTTTTTCGGCCCACATCGGTTCCTGATGAACAGTATGCAGCGAACGAGAAGCGGATATCTGGCGACCGGCTGGACGAAAGTGGCCAGATGACCTCTAAAACTACCTCCTCCTCTAGAACTACCTCCCCAGCCGGCAGAACATCTGGTGTGCCTTGCCGGTATTCATCGCAAGTTCGCCGAAAAACTCTTCACCACCGCTGGCGAGTAACATCGAGGATATGCGCAGTCGTAATCACTGACGCAAATGATTGAGCGAGCCACATTTCAAGCAACTCGTGTGACATTTCCGGATTTTGGCAGATTGTTTCATTACGAGTTCATCTGGCCTGGCACTACCTACTCAGTTGCATGTTGGACTGACTTTAGTCGAATCCAGAACATCCCTTGGCTGGGCTCGAAGTTAATCGGTCATTGCGCTCTAACTCAGCTTCAGCGCGCCGCCTTCCGAAAGCCTAGGATAACCGTAGAGTGACATAACAATATCCAAGGGACCAAGACTGGTATTCGAGTCGAGGCAAAAAACTTCGCAGTTACGTTAGTTTCTAGCATACCAATTTAGGAGGGATATTCGGCCGCCTCTCTTAACGAACTTCAGTCCATAACTAACCGACACTCCGAGAAATAACTGCTCCACTGCAGTGCTAGTACCGAAAACGTCGCTGCTGCGCTGCCTTATTCAAGTGTCGGTTAACTCAATTTATCTAAGCAAACGTGATTCAGCTTCATTTTCATCAGCTAAATTTATCTTTCATAGATTCTTCAAAATCTTTTCGAAAATTGTACCTTCCTCTGCGATTAATTTTTTTCTGCTTAATCTCATATTAGTGATCAAGTTTTGTATGTGGGATGCGCCCTCGTTGTTTTTTCGAAGATCAGGCTTCACGAATCGGTTGACCACTATCCGTCTCTGCACCATGTGCAGGTCAGGCAAAGAGATGCTACCTCCAGCAGCGAAACAGACTGAAAGGCTGGAGACTTCTGACTTAATTTACACGATGCCACAACCTTTCTCAAACAGCATATGGAGTAATGACGTAGAGGGATGTATCGTTCAGCTATGTACTTTAAAGAAATGTGTTTGTTAGAGTTCACACCTTGTGCTCATCATCACATTGAATGGTAAGCTAGCAGGTGGGCCAAGGACAATCGCAGCTCCTGGCTACACCTGCATGAGACAGCATGGTCGTGCTTCTCGTCCACTCT